CAGGGAGCCCGATGTGGGGCTCGATCCCAGGACCCTGGGATCATGACCTGAGCCGAAGGCAGACGCTTAACGACTGAGCCACCCAGGCGCCCTAACCTCAACATGTTAAAGCTGGAGTGGGATTTAGGAAGCTGTGAGTGCAAATTCCTCGATTTGCAGAATAGGATGCTGAGGCAATGGGCTCGGGGGCAAGTGCTGGGTGGAGAACCTGGCTTCCCTAACACTTGGCTCTAAGCCTTTAAGACTTGGATAGCTTCTCGGGGCATCCGGCTGGCTCAGTCAGAGGAGCGTGCAACTCTGGATCTCAGGGTCCTGAGTTCGAGCCCTCACGTTGGGTGTATAGATTACTTAAATATTTTTTTTTAAAAATAGACTTGGATAGCTTCTCATTTCATTTAATCCTGCTCAGAGGTTTTGGTGTTGGTGATTTCTTAAAATTGCCTCTAAAGGACTCTGTTTCTGAGTCTAAGCAGTGAGGGTAGGAGAGAAGTCTCCAAGTGGAATTTATCAGGTCCTCCTGGCTGTTTACTGCAGAGATATTCCCAAACCAGCTTACACCCCATAATCGATTTTGGCTCGCTGAATGTGCCAAAGACAAATTCCTCTGGTGGATATGGCTAAGCTGTTCTGTGTTTGGTTTATAGGAAACCATAAGACACCGGCTCTTCTTTCTCTCCATAGTTTTTCTGTTTGGGGTAATTACTGTAGTAGCGGGAACACACAGCCCATGAAAGGAGGAAGTGATTTACAGATAAAGGAAGATGAAGGGATAGCTGAAGCAACAACCAAATACCTTTTTTCCTCCTCTCCTTCCCTGAAGTAGTTTTCCCTGTTAGAGCTCCAGGTGACTTTGTAATCTGGTTCAAAGTTGAACTTCCCCTCTGTTTGGCTGTGTGGAAAAGAAAAAGATAAGAAAAAAAAAGCCTGTTCAAAGTTGTATGAATGGGTTTTTACACACTTTGCTATTATTTCCTTCGTTTTATGTACACTTTGGGCAGAGACGTTTCTCATGAGAGGATTATCCGACCCATTGTCTAATCCCATTCGCTTCAGTTCAGTCCTGTCTTTTTCATGTTGCTCTCTCTTCAAAGGCTTAAGGATCACATGCAACCAAGTAGGCCCCATGTAAATGCTCTACATTCCACAGCTGCCCTCTATAAAAGTGGTTCCAAATCTCTGAGATTTGTAAGAATGCAGCAGAGAGGAACACATTTTTGGCAAATTTTAAAATATATATTAGTATGTTATCATTCTAGAGTCATTCTAGACCCTTCCTTTCCTTTCTCTTGCACCCCACATCCCAAGCATCAGGAACTGGGACAGATGTGGAACCTGACCTCCTCTGCCACTGCCCCAGTCTCACTTGGGTAGACCCCCTCTCACCTCCCACTGTCATCTCTCACTAGATGACAACAGCCTCCCAATAGGCTTCCCTGCCCTGTGCCTGAGCAGAGGTGTATCAATCCAGTTTTGAGATAGAAGGTACTCTTACTCTGTGCAGGTATGTATGTTACCAGTATGGACTACATGTTTGTATTCCCCAAATATTCATATGTTGAGTCCCCAGTGTGGCCGTATTTAGAGATGGGGCCCCTAAGGAAGTAACTAAGGTCACAGGAGGTCATAGGGGTGGGACCCTGATCAGAGAGGATTAGTGTTCTTATTAGAGGGATCTGTGTCTCCCTAGGCTTACACACACCTAGGAAAGGCCACGTGAAGACACAGCAGGAGGGCGCCCTCTTCAGGCCAGAAAGAGAGCTCTCACCAGGAACAGAATCCGCTAGCACTCTGTCTGATCTGGGACTTCTAGCTTCCTGAACTGGCAAAAATAAATCTGTTTAAGCCACCCAGCCTATGTTATTTTGTTACGGCAGCCAGCGCAGACTAATACAGGTACCCAAAAGAATGCAGAAGAGCTACAATGTACCAGCTGACCTGCCTAAAAATCAAGGTTCAAGTGAATGAATAAGGAGAGGAACTTCTAAGAGGTTGTGTGTGCTGACCACTGACCACAGGGCCCAGGGCAGCTGGGGCAGCTTTTCCACCCTGTCCCGGGGGGCTGTGAAGAATGACAGGGCAGGCGCGCGCTGAGGTCGGCGCTGACCCTCGCTTGTTTGGCTCTCTGGGAAATCAAATCCAGAACCCTTAAAATCAAGCTTTCATGCTCCTTTGGGCAGAACGCACTTAGAACAAACAGAATAGGAGACCTCCACGTTTCCTCCCCATGTCCTTGTCACTTCTTTTTCTTTCCAATCCCACACCTCACACCTGGTCTTGCCTGCCACATACCAATCCCTTGAGACACTGCTTTTATATTGCCAATTCTTTTTTTTTTTTAAGATTTATTTATTTGAGAGAGTGGGAGAGAGCGTGTGTGCGTGCGCACACACACACACACACGTGGGGGGAGGGGCAGAGGGACAAGCAGACTCCCTGCTGAAGGCGGTGGGGGGTGGGGGCTCGATCCCAGGCCCCTGAGATCATGACCTGAGCCAAAGTCAGGTGCTTAATCAACTGAGCCACCCAGGCACCCCTCCAATTATTTTTCTTAAAAATCAGAGATTCACTTGGTTATTTCGGTCCTGAAATTACAATATAGGACTTCATAAATAGGACTGTGGCTTTTTACAAGATTGGTGATAGAAATAGCAGAGGGAAAGTCGTATTTGGATAGCAAACATTGTTTTCCAGCTTCCTTTTGTATATTTATTGGGTTGATTGAAATAATCAAATTCAACAAATAACCTATAGAATTCTGATACCAGGAAAGTTCCTAATGGAGGATAACTCTTGTTATTTACGAATCTCTCATAGTTACAAGTTCTTTGCACTCACTTCCACAAAGTAGCCTTGACTTCAGCTCTTTCTTTTTTAATAGCACAAGTCAGTGAATCCTTTTTTGATTGAGATAAAATTAACATGTAACATTATATTAGTTTCAGGCATACAACATAATGACTTGATATTTGTATATATTGCGAAATGTTCACCACTGTAAGTTAGTTAACGTCCATCACAACACATGGTCACAAATTTTGTTTCTTGTGATGAGAACTTTTAAGATCTACTCTTTCAGCAACTTGTTCTTTTGAAGATTTTATTTTTTAAGTAATCTCTCCACCCAACATGGGGCTCGAACTTACAACCCCTGAGATTAAGAGTCACATGCAACTGAGCCAGCCAGGCGCCCTTCTGCAACTTCCAAATATACAATACAGTATATTTAACAGTGGTCCCCATGTTGCACATTAGCCTTGAGCTCTTTATCTTCATTTTTTCCAGCAAGTAGAGTGACTGTGTTCACCAACATGCCTCAAGTTTACGCTCCTGGGAAAGGGTTGTTGTTATAATAATAATGACGATGGTAATGATGATAATTAATGTCCCTCAAGTACTTACTATGTGCCAGGCATCATGCTAACTGCATCACATTACACCACTTCCTTCTCACTAAACACTATGAGGTAGCTATGTTTATTTTGTAGCTCAAGAAGCTAAAGTTAGATCAATTTGAAAATTTGCCCAAACTAATGCACAGCTGGGGTAGGATTTGAACCAAGACCTGATTCTAAGTTTGTGCTATTAGCCACTTTCTATAGTTTCTGCTAACAGTGATTAAAAGTAGTCAGCTTTAAAATGTGCCATAAACATGTGTATTAGGGATCTATTAAAAAAATGGATAAGCCTTGGGGCGCCTGGGTGGCTCAGTCAGTTAGGCGTCTGCCTTCGGCTCAGGTCATGATCCCAGAGTCCTGGGATCAAGCCCCACATCGGGCTCCCTGCTCCAGGGGAAGCCTGCTTCTCCCTCTCCCACTCCCCCTGCTTGTGTTTCCTCTCTTGCTGTGTCTCTCTCTGTCAAATAAATAAAAATAAAATCTTAAAAAAAAAAATGGGTAAGTAAGCCTTTTATAAGGGAGTAAGCAGCTGTTGTTCTTGTCCGTCCTATATCTGTCCTTCTCATCGGTTTACTTCTTTGAGGGGCTGCCACTTTGCTCCCCAGCAAATCATGGGGCTCTGGTTTGGCTGCCCATCAGAATGCTCCACTCCTCCCCCAGCGGGGTGTGTGATCAGTCCTGGCCAATTACGGTTTAGCACATCCGGGGCTGTAGGGACTGGTCCGAGAGGTATGTATGTGACCCAGGGAGGGCCAGTGAGAGCCTTTCCCGGGGGATTTGACCCACAGTCACTGGGAGACAGAGGCTCACACTTCCTGGCTGATTGGAAGTCACGATGATATAGCCCTGGGACTGCTGACAGACGTGTCAACTGCTCTTTCCTGCCTGGAGGAAGGCTGACTGCACTGGGAGAGAAGGCCCACCCTCGGAAGGGAAGTCGAGTGAAGAGCAGCAAACTCAGGGTCTCCTGATGACATCGCATGAGCCCCCGAATTCAGCTATCTCTGAAGACAGCTGTGGACATCTCAGTTATGTGAACCAATAAGCCCCTATTAACCTTGAATTCTGTTTGGGTTGCTTTCACTTTTAACTGAAGAGTTCTGATTAACATGCTGTCTTAGTTCCCCACTGCTGCTATAACAAATGACCTTAAACTCAGTCGCTAAAAACGATACAAGGCTATGACCTTACCGATCTGGAGGTCCGAAGTCCAAAATGTGTCTCACAGTCAAGGCACTGGTGGACTATGTGTCTTTTAGTGGCTCTGGGGAAGAATTCCTTGCCCTGCCCTTTCCAGCTCCTCGAGGCCACCTACATTCCTTGGCTGCTGGCCCCTTCCTCGCATCCCTCCAACCTTTCCTTCCATGGTCACATCTCCATCTCTCTGGCTCTGACCCTCCTGCCCCCTCTTGCAAAGATCCTGTGATGACACTGGACCCATCCAGAGAATCCAGGATAAAGCCCCATCTCAAGGCCCTTAATTTTATCATATCTGCACAGTTCCATTTGCCATGTGAGGTAATATAATCACCAGTTCTGAGGATCAGGACAAAGACATTGTGGGGGGTCCAATATTTTGCTCTCATTCATACTCAGCAAGAAGAATTTCCACTAGCCACAGGGAAGGCCATTTTTAAACGCAAAGCCATTTCTTTCTTATAGGTAGCCCCAAAGAGTGTAGGGCACAGGTCCCCGGCACTTACCCTGTAGCTGCTGCGGGGGACTCCTGGGGTCTGGTGGGGATGTGGCCGGCTGGTCTCTCCCCTGTATCTTTGCATACTCGGCTATGGGTCTGAGGAGTGTCAGAGCTCCAGAACACTGTAAGTAATTGCCATCAAGGTGCAGCTTGCTGGGGTGGGGTGAAATACATTGTACATTCGATGTTATTTTCACTTCCGCAAATTTGGATTTGAGGTCTTCACCTCATAAAATAATAGACCTAGTTATATACTAATAAATAATCATAATAGATAACAGACCATATTGCAAAAAATAGACCTAGTGACCATGACATCAGGCCAAAAACATGCATATAGCATGATACCCTTGTGGGTAACTAATGTAACTAAAGGATCTTTCTCTTATAATTAAGAAAAAGAAAACAAAATAACTAAAGTAGTGAAAAGTCAGGGGAAATCATGGGTTAATGGGTTTTGTAATTCAGCTGGTTATATAACTCAAGACAGAACAGAGCCAGAGGCAGGGGGCGAGCAGGGGATGCGTCTCACCAAATGGAGCTCTGGTATATGATGGTGCCCAGCCGTGGCCCACTCTGTGGTCCCAGACCACAGTAGCGCAGACTGAGGGTTTGAAGCCTTTGGTTGTTCTCCAGGCCCGAGAAAATACTCTCAATTTCTTCATTTCCAAATCTAAAAAGAAACGACGGGAACAAATTAGTGACTTTTAAAACCTACGTCACCTGTTGGATTGTTCATTTTAAGGGACTCCCTAGGACAGCTCAGATTTTTACCGATCCAGACTATGAGCTTCCACGGCCAGGGCGGGCTATGGGGGTGAGCTGGGTGACTGAGGAGGGCAGCCTGCATGTGGAGGAAGGGGGACCCAGAATCTGCCTCCCGGGCAAAGGGAGCAGAGCACGGTTTGAAGTACCCATGCAAGGGAGTAGATAGAGAGCAAGCTCTGGATCCTGAAGACAGGAGAGATTGCCCAGCTGGCAAGGATGAAAGGGTCTGGGAAGATCCCAGTGGTAGGAGGCTGCGTAAGGAGTCTTTAAAGTACGTCCAGAGCAGGTTTCAGGAAAGTTCAGCCTCTTGGCCCTCCTTCCTGTCCCTGAGCTGCTCCTCGCTTTGTATCACCTAGTCCTTCGACTTTGCAAAGAGAAGTTGCAGACATCACGCCAACACAGCTCTGGGGACAGGAAACTGAGCAACAGTGAGGCAGAGGGATGTCTTCAGGGAATTTGGAATGTCAGTGGCTGAACTTTCAAATGAGGTGCGTCGTATTAACAGAAAGAACTCCTTAAAATTTACTAGTTCAGCCAACAAGTGCTTACCGAAGGTGGCTACTGTGGTGGGTGTGGGGATGCAGCTGTGTATGAGAAAGAAGGGCGTCCTGCCTGCTGGACCTCACAGCCTCACAGCGAAAAGCGGAGGGAAGTCCCCAGAGGCTGGCAGCCTGCAATTTTACCAGTGTTGAGGTCTCAGTGGTGACTCCCAACCACCCAACCCTGACAACTCTAGGTGTCTTGGCAATAGCAGGATTTCAACGGACAATGAACATAAGCTATTTCCTGGGGCACCTGGGTGGCCCCGTCGGGTAAGCATCCAACTCTTGATTTTGGCTCAGCTCATGATCTCAGGGTCCTGAGATGGAGCCCTGTGGTGGGCTCCTGGCTCAGCACAGAGTCTGCTGGAGATTCTCTCTCTCCCTCCCCCTCTGCCCCTCCCCCTCTCTCTAAACAGATAAATAAAATCTTTTAAAAATAAAGTAAGCTGTGGGGGCACCTGGGTGGCTCAGTCGGTTAAGGGTCTGCCTTCAGCTCAGGTCATGATCTCAGGGTCTTGGGATCGAGCCCCATGTCAGGCTCCCTGCTCAGTGGGGAGCCTGCTTCTCCCTCTGCCTCTACCCCTCCCCCTGCTTGTGCTCTCTCTCTGTCAAATAAATAAATAAAATCTTTAAAAAAAAAAATAAAGTAAGCTGTTTCCTAACAATGGGGATTCCTTTTTTCTTCCTTCTATCTTCCTGCCAGTGCAGGTCTCTGGGTCCAGCGCAGGCGCTGGAGTCCAGAAGGGTCTCAGCAGGGGGGCTGGTTCTGTCCAGTGCAGTGTGGGAAGCTGGGAGACTCCCAGGCTGATCCTCAGTCACTGCAGGGTATCCTGAGGACACTGGGCTTCTGTGCCCTGTGTTAGGAAACCCTGACTGAGGCTCCTCCAAGCACCTCAGAAACACAGAGAACCTCCAGAGACAGTCCCTCTCCCCAGCTTTTGCTGAAAGACTTGTCCACTGTCACCACTAGGGCCCTAATAAAACCCTCGCTCCTTAATGGGGTCTTCGTGTTGCTGTGGTACCACTTCCCAGGCATGAATCAGCTCTTTCACCTCACAGCCCACTGGCCTTCTGAGTATAAGGTAGCACCAGGCTCCAGGGGAAGAGTCTCAGAATCAAAGACCTGAGAAGTGGAAGAGATCATCTCATAGATCAGAGAGGTTGCATGACCTGTCCCACATCACACAAGCAGGTTGAAAGTATTTATGGATCACACTATAGACCCCCCAGCAATCTAGTATCACAGATCAGAAGTGGGCTCGGATTCTGATGGCTGGATTCACATCTAGGCTCCATCCCTAAGAGCTGAATGGCCTTGAACAAGCCAGTTAATCCCCTTGAGTCTTTCCTCATCTATATAGAATCAAAGGATGGAAATGGTACATATCTCTCTGTTGTTGGGAGAATAAATGAGATAAACCATGCACTGTGCTTGGCACACAGTTAGCTGATATTATCATCATTATTATTACCCCTGACCCTCCCCTGACAGCCCAGTGCCACAGCCCTCTGAAAGACTGGCTCTTTCCCCTAGTACCACACCTGTCCTCCCACCTCCGCTCCTGGTGAATAATGGCCTGTCCCATAGGGGATCATGGTTCCCCTTAACCAAACCACTAAAATTTACATGGACATTTTTTGTGACATTCAGGCTTTCTACCTTGCGTTACATGTAACCTAGAGCATGTCGCCTCTCCTCTACTATATCAAGGACTTCCTTGCTCAGTGGCATTGCCTTATATATGTGTATCTTCCTTAGCAAAGAGCACAGTGTCTTACACAAGCAGGCCATTGACAAATATTTGTTGACAGAATAAATGAATAAAAAGGAAGGAAGGAAGGAAGAAGAAGGGGAGGGAGGAAGGGAAGGATGGATGGATAAATGAATGAAAAAAGCCTCTTTTTGAGAACCCTGACATTTACTCGGGAACATGAGCTCTAAGGAGGTTTTGGAGTGTCCCCTTTCAGCGATGACTTGACGAGGCACAAGGAACCAGGCCACCGCCCTCCCTGCCTTTGCCTCCCTCAGCAGACAGCAGCAGGAGCCCTGAAGGAACCCCGCATTCCAGCCTCACCTGCAGTAATCGAGGACGAGAGAACGCAGACAGCTGCATGGCAGAGCCCTCCCGAGTCTCCCGAGAGACCACAGATCCATCCTACAGTCAATGAGCTCCAGGCTGGTAAATGGGCAGGCGGCACGGCCCTTCAACTCCAGAAGCGAAGCCTAAGAACGTGAGGTGAAACCGTGCTCCCGCAAGGGAGACAAATACGCTGTGTTTTCATGTAACCTAAAAGCCCATTATGTTCATTACCTCAACAGTTTTGCCTTTAAGACAACTTTCTAATTCCCCCAAGGAGAAAGTGGCATGAAAATAAAAGAAAAAATAAAATAACTGCCCTTTAAAAGGACGACTGTGAAGAATTAAATGGGAAACACCAAGCTTTATGATGAGATGAGCATCTCTTTTTAGATGTTATTAGGGGCTGGCCCAGAAGACACCAACTTGGCTGACACCTTGAGCTCAGACTTCCAAGCCTTCATAACTGTGAGGAAATAAATTTCTGTTGTTTAAACCGTGTAACGTGTGGCACTTGGTTATGGCAGCCCACCCAGGCTAACACAGATGTTGATATTCTAACCCACAAATTTATCCTCCTAGGGTTGTGTTCTTTTCTTTTTTTTTTTTTTTAAAGATTTTATTTATTTTTTAGAGACTGAGCGAGAGAGAAACAGCATGAGAGGGGCGAGGGTCAGAGGGAGAAGCAGGCTCCCCGCTGAGCCGGGAGCCCGATGTGGGACTCGATCCCAGGACCCTGGGATCATGACCTGAGCCGAAGGCAGACGCTTAACCATCTGAGCCACCCAGGCGCCCGGCTGTGTTCTTTTCAATAGAGAAGTATCATCACGCCAACTTTCGTATAGCTAGGCAAAAATTATAATAGTTAAATTACCTCCTAAGTAATTTACATTCATTGTTACAGGTATTAAGATTTAGAGCATATAGAGGTCCGCTCAGAACTAGGCCAGGCAAGGGCGCATGGGTGGTTCACTTGGTTAAGTATCAGACTCTTGATTTTGGCTCAGGTTATGGTCTTGGGGTCCTGGGATCAAGCCCCATGTCAGGCTCTGTGCTCAGCAGGGAGTCTGCTTCTCTCCTTCTCCCTCTGTCCCTCCCCTTACTCACACACTCTCGCTCTCTCTCAAATAAAATCTTAAAAAAAAAAAAAAAGAACTGGACCATACAAATTCAGCAACGAGGTGATTCTCATGGTGAAGCCGCAGGACTGGGGGCAATACATGAACATTTGGAACCATGTCAAGTTCTCTCAGTCTCCTGAATGGAGGGGTCTATGGCAAGGTCATTTCTTGCGGTAACAAAGGATCCCAGTGACAATTAAATCCCTACCTAATTGACAGAAGGAGGTATTTAAAGCTACAAATCACAAAGGCCACCTTTCAGCAATTAGAATCACCACAACCTAAGGATTTCTTCAGTTCAGAATTTAAACCTTAAAGAGGCTTCGGTGGGGTTTGGAGGATTTAGGGTTTCCTGAGGCAATGACATGTTGGTCAGAGATAGGGTTCCAAATTATAGCTTGGCTAAGAATATAAGAGCCCTTGCAGCCTTAACTACAGAGCTGGCATTTGAGGTCTCTTTTATGAGAAAACACCTCGTTAAAGTGCTGGATTGGAGCTCGCAAGCTGCGTTTCTGACAGAGGAGGCAATGTGGCACGTCACTGCCTATGGTAATGCTGGTCTGTGCGAAACAGGCTCTCAACCCAGGACCTAACAATCTCAACCAGTGGTTTGCAGTGTCATTCCCTGGGGCACTAACACTGCTGTGGGCAAGACCACAGCCATCGACCACAGAATTCCTTAACAGCCTCCAGGTGACCAAGAGGGCTACATTTTAAAGAACTATTAAGGATCGCTTTTAACATGCCTGGACAGCATTCTATGGCCTGCTCAAATGGACTGGGTACCCTGACTGACACTTTTAATAAATTAAAACAACTAAAAATTCTGGTTATGCATTAAAGATACCTTTTTAAAATTTATTTTGAATTGTGGTCAAATACACATAAAGAATTTGCCATCTTAACCATTTTTAGGGGCACAGTTCAATGGCATTAAGTACATTCACACTGTTGTACAACCCTCAACACCATCCATCTCCAGAACTTTTTCATCTTGTAAAACTCAAACTCTGCACCCAGTAAAAAATAACTCCCGTTCTCCTCTCCCCCACAACGTCTGGCAACCGCCATTTTATTTTCTTTCTCTATGAGTCTTACTACTCTAGGTACTTCCTATAATACAATGATAGAGGATTTGTCCTTTTGTGATTGACTTATCTTACTTAGCAGAAGTTCCTCAAGGTTCATACATGTAGCATATGTCACAACTTCCTTCCTGTTAAAGGCTGAATAATATTCTATTGTGTGTATATCCCACATTTTGTTTTCTACTCATCTGTTAATGGACATTTGGATTGCTTCCACCTTTGGCTGTTGTGAATAATGCTACCATGAAGATGAGTGTACAAATATCTCTTTGAGATCTGGCTTTCAATTCTTTTGGGTAGATACCCAGAAGTGGAATTGCTGAATCATATGGTAATTCTATTTTTAATTTTTTTAAGGAACTTCCATCCTGTTTTCCATGGTGGCTACACCAATTTACATTCCCACCAATAGTGTACAGGTTTTCCAATTTCTCCATGTCCTGTCAACACATTATTTTCTGCCTTTTTTTTTTTAAGATTTTATTTATTTATTTGACAGAGAGAGACACAGCGAAAGAGGGAACACAAGCAGGGGGAGTGGGAGAGGGAGAAGCAGGCTCTGCGTGGAGCGGGGAGCCCGATGCGGGGCTCGATCCCAGGACCCTGGGATTATGACCTGAGCCGAAGGCAGATGCCCAACGACTGAGCCACCCAGGCGCCCTCTGCTTTTTTTTGATAGTAGTAGCCATACTAGTTGACATGAGGTAGTATCTCATTGCAGTTTTGATTTGCATTTCCCTAAAGATTACTGATGTTGAACATCTTTTGTGTGCTTATTATTCATTTGTATACCTTCTTTGGAGAATGCTTACTTAAGTCCTTTGCCCATTTTTAAATTAGGTTGTTTGTTTTTTGTTGTTGTTGAATTGTAGGAGTTCTTTATGTATCCTGGATATTAACCCCTTATCAAATATATGATTTGCAATTATTGTCCCCTATTTTATGGGTTGCTTTTTCACTTAATTAAGTATGTCTTTTGATGCACAGAAGTTTTAAATTTTGATGTTGTCCAAACCATCTAGTTTTTCTTTTGTTGCCTGAGTTCTTACTGTCTTATATAAGAAATCATTGCCAAATCCAACATCATGAGGCTTTTCCTTTATGCTTTCTTTTAAGAGTTTTAAAAATATCTTTTTAAGGGTGCCTGGGTGGCTCAGTTGGTTAAGAGACTGCCTTTGGCTCAGGTCATGATCCTGGAGTCCTGGGATCGAGTCCCGCATCGGGCTCCCTGCTCAGCAGGGAGTCTGCTTCTCCCTCTGACCCTCCCCCCTCTCATTTGCTCTCTCTCATTCTCTCTCTCTCAAATAAATAAATAAAATCTTTAAAAAAAAAAATATCTTTTTAAAATGTGTTGATCGGCAGGACAGTGAGGAATACCCAAAGATCAATGCATGTGGGAAAGTGGGAACCTAGAACGGTCCGCAGGGCACTGAAGCCAGCTTTTCCTTTGAGAGCACCGGTAAAGCAGGGAGTTGAGTTTTGTTTTTCATGGATCTTGCAGTCCAGGGGACAGTAAAGCCCAAGATCACTGGAGGTGAGGAGTCTAAGAGAAAATACTGCATACAGGTGTGGCTCAAAACAGAATGAGCTATATAGCACTATGCCCTTAGAGTAAGGATGAACTAGAAATAAACCCAACTCTCCCTTCCCCAGGGAAAACTGACTATCTCAAACTGAGACTGAGTACACAGGAAAAAAATATATATCCCCTGTGAACTCACAAGCTAGTCTTAATATAGGTAATTGCACCCTGAATTCATACCACCTGGATGGTTCAAAGAGCCCTCAGATCAAGAATTTAATTTAACATAGCCCTAAGATGGTAGCACCCTGAGTGTGAGGGTGAAGCAAATGCAAATCTTCCCTGGAGAATGCTATCTCCAGGGCACCTGGGTGGCTTAGTCAGTTAAGCGTCTGCCTTCAGCTCAGGTCATGATCCCAGGGTCCTGGGATTGAGCCCCACATCTGGCTCCCTGCTCAGCAGGGAGTCTGCTTCTCCCTCTGCCTGCCGCTCCCCCCTGCTTGTGCTCTCTCTCATGCACCCTCTCTCTCTGACAAATAAATAAAATCTTAAAAAAAGAATGCTGTCTTCAAATCAGATCTCAAGGAATTGCCTCAACTATTTCCTAGGAAATAAAAGTTTACAGTACAAAAGAAATCCCAAAAACACACAAAGAAATGCTCCATGAATAAGAGCCAGTAGAAGCAAGAGTCAGTAATATCAGACTCCAAAATAATTTAGTTTATTGAAACTATTAGATACAGATTATAGAATAAGTTTAACACATTCAATGAAATAAAACAAGGGATTTTTAAACAGCAAGAAACTAGAAAAATGGGCACTAATGCCCTCTCCCAGTACTCCTCCCTCTTCCCTAAAAGTAATTTTATGATAATCAAACATTATAGTTTTACCTGTTTTTTACTTTGTAAATGCAACATACGGTATGTAATCTTTTGTGTCTCTCTTTGCTTGTACAACATTATGTTTTTATGAGTCATATTTTATTTTTGTGTAGCTATAGTTGATGCATTTTCATTGCTATATAGTTTGTTTTTAAAGATTTTATTTATTTATTTGAGAGAGAGAGAGAGAGAGCACAAGCAGGGGGAGGGAGAGGGACAAGCAGACTCCACACTGAGCGTGGAGCCCGATGTGGGGCTCCATCCCATGACCCTGAGATCATGACCTGAGCTGAAATCGAGAGTCAGATGCTTAACTGACTGAGCCACCTATAGAGTTTTCTACTATATGAATATACCATAATTCCTTTATTGTTTTTTGTACTTTTACATAACTTTGAAATGTTTCATTAAAAAATACATTGTTTTTTTAAAAAAGAAAAGCTTGGAGCATATCAGTCAACAACCAAATGAACTACAGCTGGAATACATATTATGTTTATATTCAATTTTAAGTTGAATTGAAGGAATACATCTAAAATGCATGACTCACCAGTCTGGCAGTCTCTGGGTTGCTCAGTTGAAGGCTCCAGATACAGATCTCTTTCCCCAGCATATAACACTCATCTCGAATTGTCATGAGCAAAGGTTCTAAGGAAATCGGTAGGATGCTTGTCGGAGAGTCTTCAGGTCTTACAAGCATAAACTGGAGTGTCAGAAAAAAAGTACAGGTGGGAATCATAAAGAGATGTCCACGCATCTGTATGCGTAGAGAAAGAATAATGTCATCAGACAACATTAGAACATTTGAAAAGGTAATTAACTTTGGATCACATGTGCATTGGGGAGGTAATTCAATACAAACTTATGAAGTTCTTGCCATATGCAAAGGCAATCTTAGAGGGCACAGATTTTTCCATCAGGTTACTACTCATTATTGGGTCAGGAAATCAATTGAGTAGGTTTTTTGTTTTTGTTGTTTTTTTTAAAGATTTTATTTATTTATTTGA